AGGAGTCCTCCTGCCTCAGCCTCCCAGAGTGCTAGGATTATAGGCGTGACCACCGCTCACAGCCCAACAGTTGCTGGTTTTGAAGATGGAAAAGGGCCACAAGCCAAGGAATGCCGGCAGCCTTTAGAAGCTGTAAAAAGCAAAGAAATGGGCCGGGCTCGGTGGCTCACGCCTGTAATACTGCACTCTGGGAGGCCGAGTTGGACGGATTGCTGGAGGTCAGGAATTCGAAACCAGCTGAGCCAGAGCAGACCCGTCTCCACTATAAATAGAAAGGAATTAATTGGTCAACTAAAGTATATATAGAAAAAATGAGCCGCGCATGGTGGCTCATGTCTGTAGTCCCAGCTACTCAGGAGGCTGAGGCAGGAGGATTGCTTGAGCCCAGGAGTTTGAGGTTGCTGTAAGCTGGGCTGACTCCCCGGCACTCACTCTAGCCTGGGCAACAAAGTGAGACTCTGTCTCAAAAAAAAAAAAAAAAAAAAAGCAAAGAAATGGCCTTTCCCACAGAGCCTCAAGTAGAAAACACAGACGTATCACCTTGTTTTTAGCCCAGTGAGACCTATTTTAGACTTCTGACTTCCAGGTAATAAATTTTTGTTTTGAAGTTTGTGATAATTGTTGCAGCAGCAATAGGAAATGAATACATCTACATAAACCAAGAGAATCAGACTAGCATTGGGTTTCTCTTCTAGAAGACCAGAAGCCAGAATTTACTGAAATGATATCTATAGATTACTGAGAAAAAACTATAATCCAAAAATATTCTACCAATCTAAAATATAATTTGTGAAGGTGCAAGAAAGTTTTTAAGACATATGAAGATTCAGAATATATTATTTACTGATATAAATGCCCAAGAAAATGGTCTAGCTAATTGACATTTGAAATAAAACTGTCACCTCAAGACAAGGGAAAGCGATGAAATCCAATGGCCAGCAATAAATGTCACACTCTTTCAGAGTATATTTAAATTTAAATAGAAATCTGAGTGAGTCTTGCAATACATAATACAAGCATAAAGTGAGTGAAATCAAATAAATGAAAGAGAAAAGCTAATAACTTTGGACTAAAAGTTTTCATTAGGTTAGTGAAATGGAGGAAAGATTAAAGAATGGGCTATGAAATGGGAGGAAAAGAGCAAGCAAGGGTGGTCTCTTCTTGGAAGAGAGTGGCAAATAAAATTCACAGTGGGTGAGAAGGTATTATAGTGATCTCATTCCGCCCAAATAATAATTATTAAGAAAGGGGAGATAGCCACTAATCTAAACACAGTGGAAGTTCCAACTTAGCAATAGAAAAGGGAAATGATCAGCCAATATGAGGAACAAAAAAGACCAAGGTAACGAATAGCACACAAAGTAAAATGAAAAGAATAAAGTTGAATTATTACACTAAATGAGAATGTGAATTTACCTATGGAAAAAAAGATTCATATTTTGAGTTTTGAAAAATCAGCTATAGTCATGCATTGCTTAATGATGGAGATGAATTCTGAGAAATGCATCATTAGGCGATTGTGTCACTGGTGCGAATATCAGTGTGTACTTACACAAATCTAGATGGTGTAGCCTCCTCCACACATAGGCTATGTCGTACAACCTGTTGCTCCTAGGCTACAAACCTGTACAGCATGTTACTGTACTGAATATTGTAGGCAATTGTAATGCAATGGTAAGTATTTGTGTATCTAAACACATATAAACATGGAAAAGATAAAGGAAACACATAGTGTAAAAGATTAAAAAAAAAAAAAAAGGTATACCTGTACAGGACAATTGCGATGAAGGAGTTTGCAAGACTGGAAGTTGCTCTGGGTGACTTAGTGAGTGAGTAGTGAGCGAATGTGAAGGGCTGGGACATTACTGTATACTACTGTAGATTTTATAAACACTGTACACTTAGGCTACACTAAGTTTATAAAAAATATTTTCTTTCTTTAGTAACAGATTAACCTTAGCTTACAGTAACTTTATAAACTTTAATTTTTATAACTCTTTGACTCTTTTGTAATAACACTTAGCTTAAAACACAGACATGTACAACTGTACAAAAATATTTCCTCTTTATATCCTTATTCCATAAGCTTTTTTCTATTTTTAAAATTAAATTTTTTTTTTTTTTTTTACTTTTTAAACTTTTGTGTTAAAAATTAAGACACAAGCACATACATAGGCCTACACAGGGTCAGGATCATCAGAATCACTGTCTTCCACCTCCACATCTTGTCTCACTGGAAGGCCTTCGGGGCAGTAACACACATGGAGCTCTCCTCTCCTATGATAACAATGCATTCTGGAATACTTCCTGAAGGACCTGACTGACTTGTTTTTAATAACTAGGAGTACATGCTAAAATAATGATAAAAAGTACAGTAAATGCATAAGCCAGTAACACAGTCACTCATTATTAAGTATTATGTACTGTACATAGTTGTATGTACTCTAGTTTTATACTACTGGAAGTGCAGGTTTGTTTACACCAGCACCACCACAAACATGTGAGTAGTTAATTGCCCTATGACATTAAGGCAGCTAAAACATGACTAGGCAATAGGAATTTTTCAGCTCCATTATAATCTTATGGGACTACCATCATATATGCGGTCCCACTGAAATGTCATGACTTGTAGGAAAAACAGCCTGTTACGTGGCAAGAGTAATGCCATCTTGAAGCAAAACCACCATAATGACAGGTGTTTGACTCCTGCATACCAAGGCATTCCTGTAGCAAGGTCAAGAAACAAAGCTTGTTGCATAGATAACCCTTCATAAAGAAACAGTTCCTGTAGCATAGATAACCCCTCACAAAGATACTTATCTAACTTCCCCAAGTGGTCACAAGTTTCACAAGAGGGTCTGAGACATGACCAGCTTCACATTTTACCTAAAACAGTTTGCTATATAAAAAATACTCTCTGGAGGGTGTGTGCAGAGATCCACAGTTTCTTGGCCACCAGAGACATCTGTTCTGTTTTTAAGTCCCTATTAAATGTTTCTTTCTTAGAAACTGGATTTGTCAGCCTCTTTCTTCAGCCTCTCAGCTCCCTTAGCCTTTGGGAGTAGGTTTGCATGTATCTGTTCACCAAGGAAGATGGTTGTATATGTTTTATGTAAGTAACTAAAATAAAATGACAGGGGTTGAAAATAAATGGATGGGCAAAAATATACCAGGTAAACAAAGGGAAATCATTACTATTAATTAGTATTACAGTTTTAAATAAAATGCCAAAAGAATTACCCTGGGCCAGGGTTGGCAAACTTTTTATCTAAAGAACCACACAGTAAATATAGGTTTTGTGGCCATATATTCTCTATTGCAACTACTAAGCTCTGATGTAGTGGTACAAAAGCAGTCATAGATAGTAAACAAATGAGCATGCTGTGTTCTGGTAAGTCTTTATTTTAAAAAACAGGCAGCAGGCTTGATTTGGTTTGTAGACCCCTGTACCAGTCAAAATGGGATATTATGTAATGATAAAAGGTATGATTCATAAAGGGTTAGTAATATGTCATTACAGGTCAAACAACATAAATTAAAAAGCAAAAATCTCTGGAAATTCAAGATCTCAGCCCCCCAAAAATTCAATTTTAGGAAATTCTGATCCAGTATGACAAATTATGTAAAAAACATGGAGAATTTTATTATAATCCACTGGCTCAATAAACTTATTTAGCAACTTGTATCCAAAAATGTAGAATATATATTTTTTCAGTGTTCACAGAACATACACAAACATCAATCTTATATTAGCCACAAAGAAAAATGTCAAACTCAAAAAAGATCTTTTCAGCCCATAATAACCAATCATAATAAAATCTGAAGTTATAACATTTAGGATGTTTTTGATGGCAAATTTATAAAATATTCAACTAAAAGTAATTTCAACAACAAATATTTATTTTTCTTACTTAACAAGGCATCAAAGAGGCAGTTCCAGAATTGACCCGGTAGCTGAGTGTTGTCAAGCTCTGGGTGAGCTTTTCTGAGATCCTCTGTTTTTTCCTCTTGGTTCTAAGATAGCTGCAGCAGTTCCAGGGATCATGTTCTCATGAGAAAATGTTTAAAAGCAGGAAGTGAGAGGGGAGGGAGTCTCTAAAATATATCTGTCTCTTCTGAGTGACAAAAATCTTTCCCAGTAGCCCTAGAAGATCCCACTGGCTAACACTGAGACATATTGGCACTCTGAGCTGCAGAGGAGGCTGGAAAATTAGCATCTGATAGCCTCAGATTCTATGGCAAGACACAAATGCTGCCAGTAAGAGGAACTGTGTGTGGCTGTTAGGTGGGCAACCAACACTTGTCATTGAGAGTCATGTAAGATAACCCAAAACAATTTAACATTGTGGAAATTAAGAAACACTCCTAAATTTAGATTACTCCTGGATCAGGAAGAAATAAAAACTGAGATTATTGTTAAGTTGATCACTTTCTATTTCATCATTTTCTGTTTCTATTTTCTCTCACTTTTTTTCTTTTATTGTCTGGGTGTTTGGTAGTCTTGAGTAGTACATTTAGTGTATTATAGTTTAATCTTACAGGTTTTCATGTAATATGCATGCATTTAAAGTGTGTAAAAATTCCTTTGGGTGAAACTTTGCCTACATCTCACATCTATTTGGCTGTAGCCTACACCTCATGTCTCTTGGTATATAAACCTCTCAATTCATTCTTTTCATTACCATTCATGGTGATTCTATGATTTATTTCCTTGTTTTTATTTTATTTTATTTTATTTTTTTGAGACAGAGTCTTGCTTTGTTGCTCAGGCTAGAGTGAGTGCCGTGGCATCAGCCTAGCTCACAGCAACCTCAAACTCCTGGGCTCAGGCAATCCTCCTGCCTCAGCCTACCAAGTAGCTGGGACTATTGGTATGCGCCACCATGCCCAGCTAATTGTTTCTATATATATTAGTTGGCCAATTAATTTCTTTCTATTTATATAGTAGAGATGGGGTCTCGCTCTTGCTCAGGCTGGTTTCGAACTCCTGATCTCAAGCAATCCGCCCACCTCGGCCTCCCAGAGTGCTAGGATTACAGGCGTGAGCCACCGCGCCCGGCCTCCTTGTTTTAATCTAAGAATAATTTGGCTGTGTGGTTTTTTTTGTTGTGTTTTTTTAATTTCCAAGAAAACTAAAACTTTTAACTATTGTTAAAATTATTACACTGTGATTAGAAAATGTGATTCTGGAATGTGTTAGAGACAAAATTTTTTCCAACCTTTCCCTGCTTCTTTGACAATCATGATCTAAACAATTTGCATCCATAAAATTTCTCTTTGCTATGGATTTTATGACATAGGACAAAGGATAAGCTCTAAATGAAGGCATTCTCACTTGGATTACATTCTTCAGTCTTCCTCCAAGAGGCAATAATAAGTTGTGATTAGCCTAAACTAATGGGCTTTCCCCATTACTTCCATTCATATGGTTGCTTGCCAGCATAAATTCTCTGATGATTAATAAGGGATAAGTGCTGATTGAAGGCTTTTCTACATTTCTTATATTCACATGTCTTTCTCTGTTATGCATTTTCTGATGTTGAACAGTAGTTGAATTATGACTTAAGGTCCTCCCACATTCTTTATATTCAAAGGGCTTTTCCTCAGTATGAATTACTTGATGTTGAATCACTTGTGAGCAATGACTAAATGCCTTCCCACATTCCTTACATTCATATGGTTTTTCACCTGTATGAATTCTGTAATGTACAGTAAGATGTGAGACCCGTTTGAAAGCCCTCCCACACACCTTACATTGGTAGGGTTTCTCTCCAGTGTGAATTCTCTGATGTTGCCTAAGTTGTGAGCTCACTCTAAAGGCCTTCCCACATACCTTACATTCATAGGGTTTCTCACCAGTATGAATTCTCTGATGTCGAATCAGAGTTGACCCTTGATTAAAGGCTTTCCCACACTCCTTACATTCATAGAGTTTCTTGCCAGTATGAATAGTCTGATGCTGAATCAACTGAGACCGATGACTAAAGGTTTTCCCACATTCCTTACATGCATAGGGCTTTTCACCAGTATGAATTCTATAATGTACTTTAAGATGTGAAATCCGATTGAAGGCCTTGCTACATTCCTTACACTGATAAGGTTTCTCACCAGTATGAATTCGTTGATGTTCAATCAATTGTGAGCTTCGACTGAAGGCCTTCGTACAATCCTTACATTCATAAGGTTTCTCACCAGTATGAACTCTCTGATGTTGTATGAAATTTGAACCAGAATTGAAGGCCTTTCCACATTCCTTACATTTGTAGGGTTTCTTGCCAGAATGAATATTCTCATGTTGAATTAATCGTGAGCCATATTTAAAGGCCTTCCCACATTCTTTACATTTGTAGGGTTTCTCATTAGTATGAATTCCTTGATGATTAATAAGGAATTCTTTTTGCCAGAAGTCTTTTTTACATTTATTGTATACATAGGATTTTTCTCCAGTATGAATTTTCTGGTAAAAAGTAAGGGATGCTTGCTGGTTGAAAGTGGGAATTTCTTCATGACTGATGATCATTTGACTGAACTGTCGGTCTGGATTTCCCTGTTGTCTGTCAAACTGTCTTCTGCATTCCCAATCATCTTGGCAACTCGAGCACTCAAGACCATAACTTGTAAGGCTTTCCATTATCTCCCATTGGGGTGATTCAACTTGATAAACATGATGCTTAGGAGATAATACCTTGGTATCATATCCAGATTCTAATACTGAAGAAGAACAAAAAAAGGGGCAAATATGCATTTTTTTTCCTTTTCCAGAAAAAGGAACTATAGTTAGGATTGGAAGGTTTATATTCAAAATAATACGTATAAGCTCTTGAATATGTCTAAGTAATTAGAAAGTGAGAAGTAGAACAAAGAAAGGGGAAATACCATAAATGAGATGGGGGAGGTAATCTGAGAGGTTGTTAAGAGTAGTTCTAAAATGTTGGTATGGATCAGAATCACTTCTAATCCATGGTTTTTAAGAAAATGAATGCTTCTATGAGAGTTTAGAAAAAAATATATAATCTAGAGTGACAAAAAGGAAATAATTGGTTGCCCAGGGCTGGAGGTATGAGGGCACATGCAGGAAAGAGCACAGGGGAACTTTTCAGGGTGATGGAAATGTTTTCTATCTTAATTAAGGTGGTGGTTATGCAAGTTTATTAATTTGTCAATACTCATCAATATTACACTCAAAATGTGCATTTTATTGAATATAAATTATACCCCAAAACAGTGGAGTTTTAAAAATGATGGGCATTTCACAAGATACAAAGAGTTCTGGTAACTGATGGTTGTACAACACTGTGAATGTACTTAATACTACTTTACTGTACACTTAAAAAGGGTTAAGATGGTAAATTTTATGTTCATTTCACAATAGTTAAAAAATAAAAATAAAAGTGATGGACGGGATGTGTCACTAGTTTTGCATCCTGCCTCTGTGCTGGGAGGACATGTGGGAGAATAAGCAAGAACAACAATCTGGCAGATCTGTCTGTCAGGGGATGTGGTGGTACAGTGGCAATATTTTCACATGTCCTCTGGAATTTGTAATAACATAGTTGTTGTCTTCTGTGATGTTTTTTATATCTGAAGTTTAGCTGAACACCATGGCTGAAGCTGTTGTCAATGGAGTGATGGAAATGCTATCTTAATTAAGGTGGTGGCTATGCAAGTGTATTAATTTGTCGGTATTCTCCTGAATCTATTTTTTAAAAGTGACCTTGGACAAAGAAGGACCTTGTTCCTTCTTTAATGGAATAAGCCAAATTTGCTGGGGATGGGCCCTTCCAGAGTAACATACTTTGCTACACATTGAAACTGCAAGGAAAAGCTGAATGGTGTATTTGACTGATTATACCCAGTACATGACTTCAGCTGCAGTGGCAGGTTTTCCTGCAATTACAGCAATAAACCCCATTTGGCTTAAAAAGACTCAGTTACAGCTTGATGTAAAGAACCATGGGGGAAGGTAAATGGGTGCTTTTGAATGTGTGTTCATAAAGTGTGTCAAAGAGATGGCCTTAGAGAGCTTCATAGGCACATGTCTGCTTCTTATGGTGGCATATCAGAGACTGTTATTTTGTTATTTGTGAAAATATTAAGCAAAAAATACCAGAATATAAGATTGCTTCTATAACAGAAGATGATAAACATGGTGAAAGAAGCATCAGATTTTGTGGGAATGATGCTGGCTGCTGTCACCTCAAAAACTTGTGCCACAATTATAATGCATCCACATGACACCGTAAGAACAAGACTGTGTAGAAAGGACACAAAGTAAAGATATTTTTTCATATACTCTGTTTGGTTGTTCAAGAGAAAGGTTATGGGTCTCTTTACTATGGTCTAACAACCCATGTGGTGAGACAGTTTCCAAAAACAGTCATTATGATGGCCATGTATGCATTGATCTACTCAATGGTTAGGGCATCTAGCTGCCATCTTACAAAAAAAGGAAAACCAAGAGATTGCAGTGGACCATGGAATATTAAAGACAGCATCCTGGACAGAACAAAACACTTAAATGGACATTGGTTGTAGGAATTAAAGCGATCCATATATTACTTGGTCTTTTTGGCAATGTGAAAAAAACCTTGGCTGATTCCAAGGAAATGTCTTTTAAAAGCACTACTTTCCCCAAAATGCCATTTTCTCTACCATATCCGCCTCACATTGTTGAGTTTTATTGATTTATGGCAGGATATGTTATTTATTCCATGGGTACTTTTCCATTCTTCTAAATAAAGCCATCTCGAATTATATAACTATTTAGAGGTAGTGCTAACAGTCATAATTTTGTAACTTCTGGCTAATGTTTAGCTCCTTGTAAAGTTGCAAAATAGCAACAATAATAGTGAGGTCTTCTGTATTTTCATATTTCCTGACAAGACCTGATATGGTATTTTAAAGTTAATTATCTGGGCATTTGTAGTCACTGTTTTGAACAACCAATGGAATAATGTATAAAAATCTTATATATAGTCTTTGCATTAAAATGTTTTGGTTTCCACTTCTAACAGGTGCTTGATATTTAGCATAATTTGGACATTTAAATTGTTAATACATCAAACTGAAATGGTAATAATTAGAGACAAACTACTAATAGTTGGGGACAACAGTAAAATGTTGTTTCTTAGCCACTGCAGTGATACAAGCACATCTCATATCTTCTCTAACTCTGTAGTACATAAGGACAACTAGAAGGTCCTTTCAGTGACTTATTATGAACCTGAATTATCACGTGTTTATCATACCTAAATACCATTTGCTTTAAGGGAGAAAAATTTACCTCTTCTGAATTTTCTCTGCTTGTTTTCACATTAAGCACTTTAACTTTTGAATTATTTCCAGATCTGTATAGATTTCATATATTTTGTAGAGAACATGGCAATTTTCAGCTTCCCAAGTTTTTTTTTTTTTAGGTGACATTATATTAATATCTGGGACAGTACACAGTTATAGAAAAGGGGCCCTCTGCAGTCTATGTCAGCAGGCAATTTTAACTAACTTACAATTTTGTAAATAAAGTATTTTTGACAAGAATTTTATTGTCCTAATTTCCTGAATGGTAACTCATAGAAAGATTCAAGTTAACTCAAGTTAATGTGCTAACAAGGATACCACTTTTAAACGTTGCCATTAAGTTTAAATGTACCATGACCCTTAAAAAGAAAATTTACGGTAATTCTGTTGAGATTTCTGCCTATAGATGTTGCTATACTATTGGTGTATAAAACGTGTGCAATTAAACTCGTGTGATACTTCTCACTTCAGTATACATGAGCTGTATATTTTGTGCAGTAGCTTTATTTTAAGAATGACTGTTATGTACTTTGTAGCCTTTTTTAAGGGTGACAGAGGAGGAGGGAATTCTATGTTGAGATTTTTTAAAAATAAAAAACATTGGTTATTTATTAAACAGTGTTCATAACATTTTTATGGGTTTTAGATATGTTGTTTTGGAGATCTTTAAGTAATCTGCACACTGTAGTGCCCACATTATTGAAAACTGCCAAGCTTTCTCTCTTGTCACCAATGAAAAACAGTGCTGTCTTAAATTCTCTCGGCTTCTCAAATTCATTATAGTCAACAGTAACTGTATTTTTCTGAGGTGCTTTGGTCTCAAAAATATCCCAATCAATTTGGAGACAAAGGCAAATTCACATTCCTTACTTTGGGATTCTTAATACCTTTTATGGTGAAGTTTGGCCTTGACAATTATTGTGAAGAATGTACTAAAAATAAAAAGTGGGAGTTTGTACCTTCAGTCTGTAGAGAAAGTCTCAATCTCTAATGTTTACATTTTCAGGTGCCACTTATACTGTCTAATACCATGTGCTTGGTGAAGATCCATTAACATTAATGTGTTGAATGTAGGACAGAGAATCTCCTCATCTTAATGATCTCAGTATCCCACAAATGATAAACAATGATATGAAACCAGCAGCTAAGGATAACATTATTAGTTATAGCAAATTCATAACAAGTATCTTTCAAGGATGAACATGTATTCTAATCCTGTTTGTATTTAGAAAGTAAAAATTACATTGCATTATTCATGTGTCATATACAACTTTTAAAAGTATTATGTATGGCCAGGCGTGGTGGCTCACGCCCATAATCCTAGCACTCTGGGAGGCCGAGGCAGGCAGATTGTTGGAGGTCAGGAGTTCGAAACCAGCCTGAGCAAGAGCGAGACCCAGTCTAAACTATAAATAGGAAGAAATTAACTGGCCAACTAGTATATATAGAAAAAAATTAGCCGGGCATGGTGGTGCATGCCTGTAGTCCCAGCTACTCGGGAGGCTGAGGCAGCAGGATTGCTTGAGCCCAGGAGTTTGAGGTTGCTGTGAGCTAGGCTGATGCCACAACATTCACTCTAGCCTGGGTAACAAAGCAAGACTCTGTCTCAAAAAAAAAAAAAAAAGTATTATGTATGTACTAGAAGGAAAACAGATATTAGAGTCTTTGATTTTGTTGTTTTAGGTAACAAGGAACAATGTAGTTTTATTTTTAATCAGGTTTTTATACCCCCAAAGTACAATCTGCAGTTTAAGTATGACATTAATAACTTAAAATAAGCTATATATAAAAGTTCTATATAAAGTTTGCCTCCAAAATATTTTTTTGCAGAGTTTTTTTTTGTTTTTTTTGAGTCAAAGATTTAAAAAGGAGAAAAGCATATTCAAAGCACTGGATATGTTTTAAAACTATATTTTGTTTTCATCTCTTTTCTATCAGATAAAACCCGTTTATTCTGGGATAGAGATAGTCAGCATTTAGAATGGTATGTACCTCTGTCCTTCCAGAAAGATGAACTGAACCTATTCAGATGAAAGCAATAGATGCTGAAAGAGGATCCTGTAGTACTCTAACAGAATAGCAGATGAAGCTCTTGAATTTATTGGCTCATAGAAAGTCTGCTCAAAATCCAAACCTGTGATTTGGGGATACCATACTATGCTTTGAAAAGCATCCCTGAAAAGGCTGTATCTGTAAAGCTTTATCTTCATTCTCATTATGTATGTAACTTTGTGGAACTGATGCTACTAGATGGGGCCCACAAATAATTGATTTGTAACTTCAAAACCATGACAGACTATCATTAGAATATTTAATCCTGTCTTTTGTCTTGGAAAACCCCTAATGACAATATGGAACAACTTTACTATATGGAACAAGTGTAGGTTGTTAAAAATAATGAACGGGGCTGGGCGCGGTGGCTCACGCCTGTAATCCTAGCTCTCTGGGAGGCCGAGGCGGGCGGATTGCTCTAGGTCAGGAGTTCGAAACCAGCCTGAGCAAAAGCGAGACCGTCTCTACTATAAATAGAAAGAAACTAATTGGCCAACTAATATATATAGAAAAAATTAGCCGGGCATGGTGGCACATGCCTGTAGTCCCAGCTACTTGGGAGGCTGAGGCAGGAGGATCGCTTGAGCCCAGGTGTTTGAGGTTGCTGTGAGCTAGGATGACGCCACGGCACTCACTCTAGCCTAGGCAACAAAGCGAGACTCTGTCTCAAAAAAAAAATAAACAAATAATGAACGGGGCTAGGTGCAGTGGCTCACACCTGCAATCCTAGCACTTTGGGAGGCCAAGGTGGGAGGATTGCTTGAGGCCAGGAATTCCAGACTGGCCTGAGCGAGAGCAAGACCCCATCTCTACAAAAAAATTAGAAAAATTAGCTGGGTATGGTGGCACATGCCTGTAATCCCAGCTACTCGGGAGGGTGAGGCAGGAGAATCACTTGAGCCCATGAGTTTGAGGCCAGTGTGAGCAAGACAGCGAAACCCGATACCCTTAAAAAAAAGAAAAAAATATACACACACACACACATATATATATAAAAATAACAAATGGTGACTCTACTTGAATGTAAACATTTTATCATTTTTAGGTTTGTTTTACATTACTAAAAATATTGACCTGCATTTGAAGGATTTAAGTGCTAGATCTCAATCTCTCTTTCAGCTTTGTTTATGCCTAACACTAAATTGTTCATATGCTTTTCCAACCCAATTGCTAGTTATGTAGGGACCATTGGGGGCTGATATATAAAATAGTTTACCCTTTCTTCTGCCAATATCAGTCATGACTCGAATATCCCTAAGAATACAGATATTTCTGAATAATTTAAATTAGAAGGATTTTTTTTTCTTTGAAATGGGATCTCACTCTGTTGTCCAGGCTTGAGTGAAGTGGCTATTCAGAGGCACAATCATGGTGCACTTCAGCCTCGAACTCCTGGGCTCAAGCGATCTTTCTGCTTTGGCCTCTTGAGTAGCTTGGGACTACAAGTATATGCCACTGTGCCTGGCTACGGAAGGATTATATATATATATATTTCTTTTGTTTTGTTTTGTTCTCCCTCAATCCCACACAGAATCAGTCACCCACTAAATCATATCCCTGTCTTTTTTATTTTTTGAAACAGGGTCTCGCTCTGTCACCCCAGCTAGAGTACAGTGGCATCATCATAGCTCACTGCAACTTTTGTAGACACAGCGTCTCGCTCTTGCTCAGGCTGGTCTCAAACTCCTGAGCTCAAGAGATCCTCCCACCTCAGCCTCCCAGAGTGCTAGGATTACAGGTGTGAGCCATGGTGCTGGCCCTGTACTACTATTTTTTTTTTAAAGCAAGAGTAGGGGATTTAATCCAGTCCTTGAAAGCTTAACAAATAAAGTAAAACTCTTAATTATAGTATACTTTGTTTTGTTTACATGGATTGCTTTTATAATACTGCCCATCAATTCATGAGTTGCTTAACAAAATGTGGCATACGTATACCCCGGAATACTACTCAGCCACAAAAAAGGATGACTTAATGCCTTTTGCCTGTGGTCCCCAACCTCCAGTATGCAGACTGTTAAGGACCAGGCCGCAGAGCCCTGGCCCCTCCCCTCAAAAAATTGTCTTCTGTGAAACTTAGGAACCAGGCGTACAGCAAGAGGTGAGTGGGGAGTGAGTGAAGCTTCATCTGTATTTACAGCTGCTCCCCATTGCTCGCATCACAGCCTGAGCTCCACCCTCAAGGCTCTACCCCCCCATGGGAAAACTGTCTTCCATGAATGCTGGTCCCTGGTGCCAAAAAGGTTGGGGACTACTGCGTTTTGCAACAATTTGGATGGAGATCATTATCCTAAGTGAAGTATTTAAAGAGTAAAAAAACAAACACCCTGTACTTCTTTAATTTGTATCTTTCACACTGAGCCAAGTCCCCCCTTCTCTGCAGGACGGCCAGAGTTGAGACTGTCTCTGCCTTTTGCTCAGAATACTGCACTATCCAGCCCATCCCCCATCTCAAAATGCAAAGTGGCTTCACACAGCTTCCTTGATCAAAAAGCATCCACTGGATAAACTGTGAGCACTGATGAGGCCCTGATCTAGCTCCTAGGCTTGCCTCCAGCCTGGGCTGACACCCTCACCACAGACAAACACCCGGCTTCCTTCCCCTGCCAAAAGCTGCCCCTTCCCTCTGGACTGCCCTTGTCCTACAGAAGGATTTTTAATATATAAAAGTATTTAACACAATATACTAACTTTCTGTGCACCTACTCAAATCTATTCTCCATCATGTCCTTATATTTCTTATTATCTATACATTGACTTTTATGCTACTTCTTTTAGAAACATAAAATTCTTATTTTACTCTTAGTTTTTGTTTTAAAAAAACTTTTCTAATACATACCCCTGCTTATGTGAAGAATTATATTATGACCTATCAGTCATAGCTAAATAGTCAACATCATGAGAGCTGATATCTTTCAATTCATGTGAGGTTTGCTATTCTTGCATTTATGTGCATGGTTGTAAATTATGCAATTGTTCTGTATTTATATTAACTAGCTGCTGAGTTTTATTTGAATTGCTAAAAGTAAAAAAGTTAAAAATGTGCTCTTGAAAAAAAATGATGAGGATTATATCCAAAGGAACCAGGATTTGAAAGGGTTTTCCACTGGCCAAATTTGGAAAAATATGAACATTTTGATAAATGATGATAATGGCTAATAATCTGTTACTGAATAAAACAAGATCTATTAATCTTTACGCTATAAATGTATAAACAAATGAACAGGAAAAAGCTCTTCTTTACAGTAGTATGTTAACTACTAAATGAGAAAGACGTTTTTTTAAAAAACCACTATTTTGTAATTATCAGTCATATCTGATCCAAGAGAAAACTGTCAATGAATCCTGCAACTAGCAGATAAAAAAATCTGTGACAAGCACAATCTTTATATATTCTCAAAGCAGGTCCCCACAAACCATGGCTTGGTTCTACTTCCTCACTGGCTTCCCATTGCCCACAGCACAGAACCCTAACTTTTTAATAGGGCTGTCTTTCCTGTTGTATCTCTATGCTCTTCCCCTTGCTCATCAACCCCAGCCCCATGGCTGTCCAGCATCTGAGGTACCAAGGGCTCCCCCTGCTCAGGTCCTTCACACTCACTGTATTTCCCCAGCTACAACTCATCTTCTATATCTCAGCTGAAATGCCTTATCCTTGGAGAGGTCAACAGCCCTGTCATGTACCTCAACTGAACCTGTTCATTTTTTTTCTTTCTTTTTGTCCATGTGCATGAATGTGTATAACATCTGTTCCCCACTACAGTATAAGTTCCACGAAGGCAGAGATAAGTCTGCCTGCCTCACCGGTGTATACTGTGGCATACCCTGTGATGCATAATAAAAGCTTAATAAATACTTTTTACTAATTCTCCAAAATTCAAACCACCAATACAAATTCCTTTAGAAAAAATGGTCAAAGGACACAGACATCTTTCCAAAGAGAAAATACTTTCCTTAAGAAACACCATATTTGTACTCACTCAGAAAGGAAGGAGCAGCTACCTTTGTCAAATGCTGCTGACAAGCTGAGAAAGATAATGACTAAGACATGACCTCTGAATGTGGCAACTTGGAAAGAAGATTTTCCAATGCAAAGGAGCTGCTTCCTTCCCAACCAGCTGACGTGATACCTGCAGTGGCTGCTCCCTTCTCACCAATGCCTCACTCACCTGGGCACAGGTCTCCTGTGGCCACCCTCTCCACGATCCAAGGCTCTTTGCCTTGCTCCAAGAAGGAGATCACATCAGGTTTGGAAATGGCAAGACCTGGAGATGAGAAGAAACATGTCACCCAGTAATGGTGTGACGGCCCCAGAATTCAGATCTCCTGGTCATTAAGCAGGAGAGGCAGTTGCAGGAAGGGCAGAAGATGTGATGGTTGCCTGAGGGCAGGGGAAGATAGCTTCAGGTGATGCAACTGCCCTTTAACCCCACAAAAATTACCAACCAGTCACAAAACTGAAAGGCACCCAGAAACTAACCAGGAAGAAATAGACATACCCAAAGATAACCTCCAAATAGAACAGGTCACCTTACCCAGTGAGACCAGGTTGCTATAGGTCTCTAACATCACATCTCTGTACAGATCCCTTTGAGCAGGTGCCAGCCACTGCCATTCTTCTTGGGAGAAGACTATGGCCACATCTCTGAACAATTCTGACCCCTGGAACAACAGGTATGTACAATATATGCACATTTCAGTGGTTCGCAGTGGGATGAGAAGAGCTGGAGGTATTTGCAGAAGGGGTTGTTTTACTGAACGAGAAGGCTGGGGCTGGATGTGAGCAGGCGACAGAGGAAATGGTCATGAGTAAAATAGAATGTTCAAATATTCTCAATCATTTTTACTGCAAACCAAAGCTCTTGTATACAGGTCTGGGATTAAAATTAAAATCAAGCTAAATGGAGTTTTCCTTATTGTAAGAAACAGTGTAATAAAGCGTGCCACCCACTCTGTATTTAGCATATAATAACTTCTCCATTAAGGTGAAACAGTTCTATCTTTATGAAATAACAAACACAAAAAGATTTTTTATGGACTTTCCCCCAATTTTTAAAAATTATTATTTTTCTGAGACAGAGTCTCACTCTGTTGCCCAGGCTAGAGTCCAGTGGCATCATCATAGCTCACTGCAACCTCAAACTCCTGGGTTTAAGCAATCCTCCTGCCTCAGCCTCTAGAGTAGCTGCGACTACAGGCATATGCTATCACACCCAGCTAATTTTTCTATTTTTTATAGAGAAGGGGTCTCGCTCTTGCTCAGGCTGGTCTTGAACTCCTGGCCTCAAGCAATCCTCCCGTTTCGGCCTCCCAAAGTGCTAGGATTACAGGCATGAGCCACTGTGCCCGGCTTCCCCAAATAGTTTATTTTTAAAAAATACATTAAAAATGTTTTCTATCTTAGAAATACAATTTTTGTGTAAGTCAAGAATTTCTTAGAGATGTAGATGTAAGTTTATCATTATGTCACAAGCATTTTTTCTTCATGAGAAAGACCATGAATGAAGATCACTTTTATTGACTATATAATTTTCTATCATGTGGAAAGAATGACTCAAACATCCTCTTGTTTCATTTATTATTTTGCATCACTTCATCTAAAAAGCTAAACCTTTTATTTTGGATCCAGAGGTTAGATCAGGTATCTAAGGTTCTTCCAAGTTCTGACTATCCTCCCATCTGGCTGACCATCTCATTTGCTATCATCCATGATCCTCAACTGCACTTCTCCTGCTCTTAAGCTAAAGAAACTAATGGAGAAAGACCCAGACTCAAATACTCTGTCCAACCTCACACTAGACCTTAATTCTGGCATCTAATCTCTCACCGATTCCCAACCAAGCCTCAATCACACCCAATCATCAGTCTTTCCCATCGCAGGACACTGCACCACATGCTGAAATTAAAACCAACTAACACCACCTCCCCTGCTTTTCCATGTGATTGCTCCTAAGCGTTCCTACAAGGGATGATCTCATTTCTTTTGTTTGTTTGTTTGTTTAATACACAGCATGGAACACTAAGGGATGTTCTCATTTCATACAGGGAAATGGATTTATGCTCTATCTGGCCTCCTGGAAGAAGACAGCCATCAGGAGATAGGCAATGCTAAACAGAATTAATCCATGGGCATTTGTCAGAGAGAAGGGGGCAATAGGAGAGGGGACCAACTGCCTGGTCCTTTTATTCTGTAAAATGGGAACCTCTGAGAACCAAATTCCTGGATAGGAACCCAGGTAGAAAATTTCAGGGTAAGGAAAGCAAATCTTTACATGATTTTAAAACTCACAAAGGACATGATTTTAGAATTTCAAGGGTTGATGGGTCCTTCTCCTGGTTCCTCTCTTGCGGAAGGGCAGAGTCCTGAGATGGCAGAGCTGGGGGAGGAAAGAACAAACATGAGAGGCTAGGCTTGCCTCACAGCTCCAAGTATGCCAAGGTTACAAGTCCCCACCTTCTTGCCCTCCACCCACCATAAAAAATAGAGTTGAGAAAAATGGTGATCCTCACCCAAACTCAGGAAATCAGGTTTGACTGCTGCAAAGAGACAAGGCACCTGTGGTTCCTTCCCTCCAATTCCCCCCAAATACCAAGAGGTTCTGCCTTACTGATGTAAACGTGAGACAGGGATGCTCAGGCCTGGTCCAGTGCCTGGGACCCACATGGAACCTGAAGGACAACGAAGGCTCTCCTAAAGCTAGGAAGCACAGGCCTGCATAATTTGCAAAGCCCCAGCCTAGAATAAAGCCTTCCCAAGACCAGGCCATTTACCTCTCTTATGCATCAAATTCAACACCTTCAGAAGTCTATCTGGCTCTTCTCCCAACTTCCAAATTTACAAAGAAATCCGTAGCCCAATCTGAGGCTTCGTGGACAGCTATTCATGGGACTTGCCTTGAGTCAACAAATGGGGTGGCGTAGAAAGAGACAATAAGATAAATTAAATGGAGCAGGCTCAGCACTCTATCATCAACACATAAATGTGCCCTTCCATAGAAACACAGCAATGCACAAAGCTGCATGCATAATATTTACTGAAGAATAGAATTGAAAACTGGTACATAAGTAGGCAAGTCCACAAGTAGGCAAGTGGCTGAATCATTTTTGGCACAGCCATATAATGGAACATCAAGCAACTATCACAAATGATGTTGGACAACATTAACAAAGAAAGTCACAATGAGATCTTCTATACCATAAGAGGCCATTCAGCAAAAAGAATTCAAAACACTCACCCACTGACACACAGGCTCAAAACAAAACAAAACAAAACACTGGAATAGAAAACATCCAAATATTTAGAGTATTAACACTTAACCACTTCTTGAGTTCATCATTAAATGAGTAGTATTTTGTAAAAGAGTGTAGAACAGTACCTGTCACATTATAACCATTTAGTTCTAAGTAATGTGTAAATGAAATAAGTATGAATGTTGCTTGATATGATGTAATAGCCAGCTTTTTCTCATTACGACCCACTTTTATAAGCACTATTTGTATTAACTGTACGATATCCTATTTACACAAGGTGGCCTGTGATTTACTCAACTGTTTCCGCATTGTTAGACATAGAATTTGAACAAAATGGTCTAAAATATTACCATGGATAAGTCTCTGCTTATAAACTAGTGGTTCCAAATCTTTTGTGATCTTGCAACACTTTGAGAACCTCATGAAACAAGACTCTGTACTAGATTTAAGGGGGAAAAAAAAGCTCACATACGAATGAATGCAAAAACATCCGCAATTTCAGGAGTCGGGGGCCCTCCACACCCACCTAAAGGGTCCATGCATCCGGGCTAAGACGCTGGGCGCGGAAAGGGGGCGCTGGCGGGAAGCGCCGCAAGGGCTGCCGGGAAATGTAGTCCAGCGCCAGACAGCCACTTACAGACGCCGGGCGAGACGTCCGGGTTCTTCTCAGGTCTGAGACCCACCCGGCCGCGGCTCCCGCTCCCGCATGGATTCCGGAGCGTCTAGAAAGGCCCGTGAGCCCCTCACCTGCCGCCTCCTCGGGTCCAGGCGCCACCGCGACCGCGCCCCCCACAGCCCAGGGCGCGCTTCTACCTCGGTAGCGGAGGAATCGCCGCACGGAGCCGGAAGATGGCACGACGCACATAGCACGCCAGTGCCGCGCCGTGATTGGGTCCGCACCGCAGTCTCTTCTGGGAAATGTAGTCTCTAGAGGTAAAGGCTGCAGCGAGTGTCTCGCGATGATTGAGGGGGCGGGGTGTGTTGCTCAGGCGCGTGCGTAAGTGCACGGACCGGCGGCGAACGGTCGTTCGAGCCCTGGGGTCGCCACGGCTAGGTGTGAGGCTGTTGGAGGGCGGTCGGCGTGGGAGTTTCTGCGTGTGGTTGTAAGTGAGGGAGTGAGCAAGTGACTTCCGCTGTGTGCGCGGTGATTGTTGCGACGGTGCGCGGCGTCTAGATCTGACCCGGCGTGGGTCGTTGAGTGTGTGCGACTGGGGCCGTGTAGCCGGATACACACCACGTGAGGAACTTTGTTGTCCACAAACCACCATTTCCGCCGAGCGGTCATTTTACCAGAATATTCGGCAGCCTAAGAGTTTGGTGACTAACTTTAAACGTGTGTCTATAGTGAAATAATTGTGGATTGTGAAGGACAATGCAAGGAGACGTCAGAGTTTCCTGTTACGGGCAGCATCTCTCAGCCAGACCGCTACAGGTGGTTGATCATTCTCTTCTGCTGCTAGGCGACTTTGGTGTGGGAAAGCGTGAGAAGCCCTGGACTTCACACATCCTGCGGCAGCATGTTCCAGTACGGTCGGGAGTCCCCTGTTCCAGATGCTGATCAGGCCCTGCTGTGCCCTGTCTCTGAATGAGGAAACCTTCCCTGTCCAGGGTGGTGAAGCTTTTCCTTCTTTCTTTTTTCCCTTCTTTTTCTTAGAGACGGGGTCTTGCTATGTCTCTCAGGCTGGAGTGGAGCACACCAGTGCGACCTAAGCCCACTGCAGCCTCGAAACTCCTGCGCTCAAACGATCCTCCCACCTCAGCTTCCCAAGTAGGCAGACCTATAGGGCATGCCACCATGCCCATTTTTTGAAAAGAATTTTCTGGAGACCTATCTTGCTATGTTGCCCAGGTTGGTGGAACTCCTGGCCTCAAGTGATACTCCCAGATTGGCCTCCTTAGTGCTGGGATTACAGGCATGAGCCACTGTGTAGGCAGCAGTTTTCGGCCAGGCCCAGAGTCTAGAGCTACTCTCTTTTGATTTGATCCTGTTTCCCTCAGACCTTGTGACCTCTATGGTGTAGTAGTTAAGAGTGTAGACTCTGGAGCCAGAATGCCAGAGCTCCAGTCTCAAGAGATGTGCGTCAGTTTCCACATTTGAAAATGGGGGCTGTACTCTAACTAAATAAGCTCATATATGTAAAATAATGCTACCACTACTGCTTCTGATAAGGATGATGGTGGAAATGAAGCCAATACTTTCTCAAAAGATGCTTTTTCCAAGAAATCCACCACATTGCCTCTTTACACATTCTTCAGGAGAAGGTAGAGGCAGCATTTCCCTTGCAGACACAGTGATGTGGTGGAAAGCATGCATTTTAGAGTCAGACTGGATTCAAAATTCCAACTCAGACATTTACTATTTTCTTAATGCTTCAGTTTTCTTTATCTGTAAAGAAAGAATTTAATGCTGGGCTTGCAGCTTTGTGCTTAGGGTCAAATGAAATCATGTAATGAAAGCAAAATTCAGAGCTTAGTTATTACTGATATTGAGATAACTTAAGCAAGATTGGTTGAATTTCACACTTGTGAACCTGCAGTTGAAGGAGACAGTTGTCAGTTTATCCTTCATCACCTTATTCATGGTTCAACACCGTGTTGTGAGTTCAAGAACAGAAAGTAGCTACAAAAAGTAAATGATCTTTTCTACTTGAAAATGGGGAAATTGAGACGCATCTTTGAGACTGGAGCTCTGATTCTGGGAAGGGATCAGTGGCTCTAGTTTCCCTCTAACATCCCTCTGTCTATCTGTGTGTGTATGTACACGTATGAATGTTGCTTATGGATGAAAGGAAGGAAGAAGACAAAGATGGTGCAAAGCCAGCCTTCTCTCAGGGTAACTTTCTTCTATACCATTTCTACTTTCTCAGAATCCTTAATCTGCCAAAGAGAAATTTAGAAGATGATGAAATGGCCACTTCATTTGTAAGTGTTTTGAATGTAAAAATGTACATTTTGAATATAAAAGAAAATTTCTCTTCCTCAGTTGAAGAAAAGTTTCCATTTAACAAATTATTTTTTAATCTGATTATAAAGAATATATGGTGATTGTAAAAAAAATTACAAAGTACTTATAACAAAGAATTAATTAAATGTTATTCATAATCCCACAATCCAGAAATAATTAGTTGAAATTTAAGGTTATAATTTTCCGAACTTATTCATTTATATCTGCCCTTCTGTTTTATTTTTCTGTCTTTATATTATACTTTCAAAAGGAGTACCTGCCACATACTTTTCCTACCTGAAATTGATCATGACTGTATTTATAATCACATTTTTGATCACAGAGTATTCCATTTTATTGCTTTTCCATAATTTAACAAATCTGGTATTATTTAACTCAAGATCCTGAACACTGGATAAAAGCATGGTCATATACATTAAGTATTTCAGTTGTCTTAACTAACTCCACAAATCCCCCAGAGCATGTGAAGGCCTGATCTCTTGGTAAATAACTTTATTTCTTGGCCTATTTTTTTGTATATTTATTTTAGCATATTATGGGGGTACAAGTGTTAAGGTTACATATATTGCCCGTACCCCTCCGCCCTCGAGTAAGAGCTTCAAGCATGTCCATCTCCCAAATGTTGCATATCTTACTCGTTGTGGCTGTATGTACCCATCCTCTCCTCCCCCCCACGCAGGTCATCAGACTGACAAAATATCAACTAAAGAGGCCCTTCCAAGAGCTGTAAGAAGAAAGAAGCAAGTAGCATACAAGGGAAAGCCAATTCGAGTAACACCAGACTTTTCTACAGAAATTTTCCAAGCAAGGAGAGACTGGGGCCCCATTCTCACTCTTCTGAAACAGAACAATGCTCAGCCTATAATTTATTCCTGCAAAACTAAGTTTTATATGAAGGAGAAATCAAGACATTCTCAGATAAGCAAAGACTGAGGGAATTCACCAAGACAAGACACCCTTCAAGAAATACTCGAAACAGTGTTAACCACGGATCAGCACAATAACACTCACCAGTGTAATCTACTAAAGCTAAAGATGAAAGCCCAGATACCACAATGCTCAGAGAGAAAACAAAGCAACAAAGTTCAACCAACATAATGAACAGAAATCTGCCCCACCTATCAGTTATCTCAATAAACGTGAATGGCTTGAACCCCCACTCAAGAGACATAGGCTGGCAGAAAGGATAAAAACACAATCCCAGTATCTGCTGCTTTCAGGAAACACATCTAACCTGCAAGGATGCAATTAGACTAAAGGTAAAAGGGTATACAACAATATTTCAAAGCAAACAGAAGCCAAAAGAAAGCTCGCGTGGTTGGTGCTGATTACAGATAACTTAGTTTCAAATCAACAAAAGTAAAAAAACAAAGGGTGGTCAGTATATAATGGTGAAGGGTACAGTTCAACAAGAAGAATAATAATTCTAAATATATATGCCCAACCTTGGTAACCCAGATCATTGAAATCAAACTCTATGGATCTAAACAATAGGATAACAACAACACCATAATAGTCGAGATTTTAACACCCCACTGACAGCACAGGACAGATCCTCCAAACAGAAATCAAGAAAAGAATAATGGACTTAAACAGAACCCTAGAACAATGGACTGACTGACATTTAAAGGACATTCTACCCCAAAACCACTGAATATATGTTCTTCTCATCAGCTCATGGGTCATTCTCTAAGATTGACCATATCCTAGACACAAAGCATGTCTCAAACCAAACACTTAAACAGAAATATACCATAGTATCTTTGCAGACCACAAAAGAATAATGTAGAAATCAACTAACAGGAGTCTCCATGTCTACACAAAGTCATGGAAACTAACAACCTTCTGCTGAATGATCATTTCATAAACGAGGAAATCAAGATGGAAATCAAAAGATTCTTTGACCTAAAGACAAAGGTGACACAAGTTACCAAAAGCTGTAGGACACAGTTAAAGCAGTCCTGAGAGGAAAGTTCATTTCATAAATGCCTATATCCAAAAGTCGAAAAGATCACAAATAGACAACCTTAATGAATCGTCTAAAGAACTGGAAAGAAGAACACTCAAACCAGCAGAAGAATGAAATCATTAAGATCAAATCAGAACTAAACAAAATTGACAACAGGGAAACTATACGGAAGATTGATAAAACAAAAGTTGGTTATTTGAAAAAATAACAACGAACACACCATTGGCTAGACTAACGAAAGTAGAAAAAATCTCTAATATGCTCCATCAGGAACAATAAAGGAGAAATTACAACTGATGCCATGGAGATACAAGATAATTATGAATACTACAAAACCTCTGGAAAATGTGGAGAAATGGACAATTTCTTAGAAACACACAGCCTCCTAGGCTCAACCAGGAAGAAACAGAATCCTGAGCAGACAATATCAAATACTGAAATTGAAACAGCAATAAAAACACTTCCTAAAAAGAAAGTCCTGGACAAGATGGTTTCACACCTGAATTTACCAACCTACAAAGAATAACTGGTGCTATCCTGCAGGAATTATTCCACAACATCGAGAAAGACGGAATGTCCCCAACACATTTATGAAGCAAACATACCCTGATCAAACCAGGTAAGGATGCAACAAAAAAAGAAAACTATAGACCGAATATCCCTTATGAAATAAGATGCAAAAATTCTCAACAAACCTAGCCAACGAATCCAGGTGCTTGTCAAGAAATAATTCATCACAACCCAGTGGGCTTCCTCCAGGGATGCAGGATGGTTCAACATACGCAAATTATAAATGTAATTCACCATACAAAGAG